CCCTCACTGCCCCCCCACCCCCCGCCCCCTCTACCGCGCCGCGAGCCACCAGCACCAGGCAGTGGTGAGTGCTCGTGATGGAAGCACAGATGTCCCCGTGCCTCGTGCTGTGATATGACAGGGAAGGCGGGCCTCTCTGCCAGACGACCCTACTCTTACAAGGGTCCTAAATGCATAGGCTGTTGGGACCACGCAGCCAACACAGTGAGAGGCACTGCCCAATGACAAGGGCCAGCACCAGTCAGACGTTAACTCAGTTTGCTCATGTCCAATGGGGTGGTTGTGAGTAAAGAGCTAATGAGGTAACAGTGTCTGCTAAATGACAGCAGCAAATGAATAAGAAAAGCTACTATTTTCATCTATTAACTTTATAAATGTGAAAATTGAAAAATGGAAAGCAATTTGCCCAAGAACACATAATCAGTCAGGGGCAAGGTCAAGTACAGCTGATGGAACAGAAGTTTGAACTGTGCGGTTCAATGGTACTGAGATTTTCTTCCCAATAAACATGTAGTCTGCCCTCCCTACAAGAGTTTGGACCCCGCAGATTCAACCACCGCAAGTGGAAAACAGGACTTTCCATCCGGGATTGGGAATCCCGGGCAGGCATAAGACCAGCTGTATACATTGTTTCATGCCATTTTATATAATGACCTTGCCCATGCCTGGATTTTGGTATGGGCAGTGGTCCTGCAACCAATCCCCCTCAAATATGGAGGAACGACTGAAGTTCCGTTTTTGCAATGGGCTGGTGTCAGGGCCCCTAACCCCTACCTTGTTCAAGGGCTAACTCTTAGTCTAAAATTCCTGTTCCTGACCTACACCAATTCAAGACACCATAGAAGAAATCTGCTCACTGAATCTCACTTCCGTGCCTCATTTTCCTCAAAACACTAACACACTATTTTACTTATTTTGATTTTTATCTGACTTCCAAAGAATATAAATTCCAAGTAGACAGGGAGGGTTGTCTTTTGGTCTATTCTTCTACTGCTGTATCCCCGCCACCTAGAACAGGATCTGGCTAGTACACAGAGGCCCAAATACTTTTTAGATTAATGATTCTTCATGGAACAGTGAACTTAACTAAGTTTAAATTTTCTTAACTTCAGCATAACATTTCCAGCTAGACATTTTCATTTGTATTAACAATCTTTAAAATATTTTGTCTATCACTTGTGAGAATGGGGAATAAATGAAACCAGCTACTGTCTTTAATTTCCTTCCTCTTATTTTTTATATTTTAATCATTACTTCCTTATTAAAAATAACAATGTTGCCTTTCTACTAAGATATAACCCCAAAGTCATTTGCCTAGCTCAGCACAAATGTGAATGGATTGATAGATTTTTTTCCTCAGACTGGATTTCTGCTTACCCTAAACAAAATTCATATACAAAAATTCTTATTTTAAAATGCTTCATTTTTATTTTTGACATCTTTTTTATTTTTTTCAGAGAGGAAGGGAGAGAGAGAGAGTGATAGAAACATCAGTGATGAGAATCATTGATCAGCTGCCTCCTGCACTGCACACCCCTTACTGGAGATCAAGCCTGCAACCCGGGCATGTGCCCCTGACTAGAATCAAACCCAGGACCCTTTAGTTCACAGGCTGACGCTCTATCCACTGAGCCAAACTAGTTAGGGCAAAATGTTTCATTTTAAATAGCTGCTTTATTTAGAAATCCAGTGTCAAGAACACTAGATGTCTAGACCTAGGACTAACAGCTAGGTATATACATTAATGCCAGTCATTTAATCTCAATTGTAATTTTTGTATATGCCTTCCCTAATTCATGGCAAATTCCCTAGGGATAAAGAATATACTCATTAACTTAATTCATATATTTATTAAATATTTATTATGTGCCAACATAGATGTTTAATAAATATATGAATTAATGAGTACAGGGGTGGGCATTAGGTTGAATTCAACCACCTCAGGAGGCAGTGCGGCTACCCAAACAGGTCAATGAAATTTGTTTACTGATTTTCAAAAACTATAAGAATGTACAAATAATGAAGGCCAGCAATTTGAGCGCTTATAAGATCATACCTAAGTGCACTGCCCCATTGTGACATACTTTTGAGTTAATGAAACTATTAATAACCTGAATGTCTTTTATATGAACTGTAAACCTACTTTTGCCCACCCCTGTATGTTATAATCATGTCTTGTTTTGCCTGTCTTTTCCTTTGATTCACAGAATTACTCTACATATTTAAAATTCCCAAAGTAATTTTCTAACATCCAGAGCTCATGCTCCTCTTGGTGTCAGTGGCCTAATTCCCTTCTAGTTTTGGCTATGAATCTACTGTCTCTGTAATGTCACCTGTTTTGGACACCCCTGTAGCTTGGAAAACATCTACAGCAGAATATCTGGTTTGCCTAGGCTTTAACTTTACCTCACGGTATGATGAAAGTTGGTATTTGTAAGGTTGCTAGGTGTGGGAGGCAGGTTGGGCAGAGCTAGGATTATGTATTCTTATTACTTAGATGAAGTACGGAAAATCCTAAGCAAATATGTGTTAATGTTACCATGCCTCTGATTTTAAGATTCTCGTGATTCATATTTTTAGGAAGCCATTCCTAAAACTTCACAAGCATTCTTAATTATAAAATAACACAGTGATTTGATTAGCTAATAATATGAAGAACCTCTTGTCCTTTCTTTTTTAATATGTTACCCAAACCTAAGTTTTACAAGTCTGTATCCAAGTTTCTATAGAGTTACCTGTCCTGGTAAATGTGTTAGAGGCTTTTATTGTATGCATTAATGTTCATTATATGAACATTGTATATTAATAGCATAAAGTTTTATATCCTTTAATAACTGCATTACAGAACTTTTACTATTATAGCTTAATGGGTAATATAATAGGCACCTTATGCAGAAAGTATTACTTAAAACAAAAGCCAGGTATTGACCAAGCATTTTGTTGGAAAAGAAGTCCCACAAGTTTTCCAAACATACTAACTCAAGCTGACAAGGGAGAATATGCTTCTAATTTGCCCTTAAAAGATTTTTTTTTTTAAGTTAGCATCTGCTTTGTGCCTGTTTCTCATCTCTTTGGCTATATTGTATATAGCAAACAAAGCTAAGCTACACTAACAGGCTAAAACTTCCCTCTCTAAAGCATGCAACTCCTTGTGTCTGTGACCAAATATATGGCCTATTAGTGAAAATATAGAACATGTTAAGATTTCATTATATTGAAATTCGTGCCCAGTTTGAACACATGAGTTGCTCAAAATCATTCTAAGGTGACTTAAAATACTTGAAAAGATAAACAATACCTTCGAAATTTTCAGAATCATTCAATTTTAAAAATCTATACACTGAAATAAATTATTTTAAAAATCCTCCACGAGGATTTTGAAGTGTATATTTTGGAGGTAACAATCTTTTAATTTTTCAGATTTTACACTAACTTAATCCCCCCCCCAAGTGTATATAAATTTGGTTACATATTTGTAATTATCTACATCCATAAGTATGGTATACGGATATGAAACTAACAGTGCTTTTTATTCAGTAAACTAAACACAGGAATCCCCAAATCAAATGCAGTATCATTGAGTCATGCCCAGCATCAAAGTAAAAATAACGGATCACAAGTTATTAAGTTACAGCTGTCTTTAATCCATGTATTCCTTCATTTATTTCCCAGTCCGTAATACAGCACCCAGGCTCAGAAGGGCGCTGCTGGAAGAGCTTCCCAAGAATGGCATGTGCTGTGCGTTCGCTTCACTAGTGGAAACCACCCTCGTGTGCTGTCGTTCCCATTTCTACACTCAACAGGTGACTTACAATTTAAAACCGGGTAAATGGTCTCATCAAGAGCCTGAAACCAAATTCTTCTCCAAGGAAAGGTGACACCTGCAAAAGTATCTTTATCATCATCACTCCTGCCTGCTAGGGGCATTTGCAGGCATGGCTAAGGCGGGTCAAGAAGGTTCCAGGAAAAGTGCGCAACAGCCTGGGGAAGGGGGGGGGGGGGCAACATTTCTCCATCCCGTCTCCTCCGCTTTCCCACACTCGCTACCGGCTGCCTGCGCGGGCGTCACCGCGCGCGGGCAACAGTTGCCACGAGCAGCTGGGCTTAGGGCTCGCCATTTGCCCAGCCGGTTGTCCCTTCTGCGTCGTCCCCTCCCTCTCTCCTCCAAGGCCGAGGACAGCGAAGGCCGCCTCCCTTTTCTCCTCCTCTTTGGTGCCTGCAGCCAAGAGGCGGGAGTGACCCACAGCAGCTGACCCAGCAGGGCACTGCCTCTCGCACAGTCCTCGCCCTCCCACCCAC